AGAGAGAGAGAGAGGGGGCGTGAGAGAGAGAGAGAGGGGGCGTGAGACAGAGAGAGAGGGGGCGTGAGACAGAGAGAGAGGGAGCGTGAGACAGAGTGTGTGAGAGAGTGTGTGTGTAAGAGAGAGAGAGCGCGTCTGGGTGAGAGAGTGGGAGTGCGGGGGAGAGAGTGGAATCGTGTGTGAGTGTGTCGTGTGTGAGCGTGTCGTGTGTGTGTGTCGTGTGTGAGTGAGGGTGTGTGTAAGAGAGAAAGAGGGAGCGCGAGTGCGTCTGGGTGAGAGAGTGGGAGTGCGGGTGAGAGTGAAATTGTGTGTGTATATGTGTGAGAGTGTGTGAGAGTGAGAGTGAGAGTGTGTGAGAGTGACTGAGAGTTAATGTGTGAGTGACTGAGAGTTAATGTGTGAGTGAGAGTGAGTGAGGGAGAGATTTTGTGTCTATCTATGTGCACATAAAGAACTTTCCGTGAAGAAGTGAACGGCCCTGAACAACCTGGCTCTAGTTTTAAGGTTGTGCCCTTTTCTGGACTCCTCCACCCGTGGAGATAGTTCTCTCTCTTACATCAAGTGTCTTAATTATTTTGAACACCTTGGTAAGAATTCCCCCTGCCTTCGACACTCAGGAAAAACCGAGTCTCTGCAACCTGTCCTCAATTTAATCCTTTTACAAACAATTTGGAATATAAAGTTATTACAGGTAAAAAGTGACAGTATGATGAGTTCCCTCAGCAAGACAGGAGGAGGACAAATAACCAGCAATCAGGCGCATACAAAATAAATCTCAATTTCCCCAGCATAAACCAGCCGCACAGATATACACACAACCAATGATGCATCACGTTCTCCTTCATTTTGAACCAGAGTTTAAATCTTCTCAAGAACAATGGTACCAGAGGGATTTTCCCTGCAGGAGCACCGGTGCAATTTAACAAGGGTCACCGTCAACCAAATGGACACAGGTGATTGCACTGCAGATGTTGCACGAGTCAGCAATCTCACTTTGAGATGGTGTATAGTACAGAGAGCTTGATGAACAATGTATCCTATCGTGCTGGAAGAGACCCAGCAAACTGGACTCCCTTGTGAATCTCCATCACTTTAAAAATAATCATTGAAGCAGGGAATGATACTGGAATGATCAAAGAGTCAGGATCTTCTGAGAAAGAAAAACTAGGTGCCCCTTTATTTTGAAATTGTATCCCCTAGTTCTAACCTCTCCCACAAAAAGAATCATCCTTTCAGCAGTCATCTGGTCTAACTTGCACAGAATTGTACATGTCACAACAAGAGCACTTCTTCTTCTGAACTCCAATGGGTACAGGATCAGCACGTCCAGAATTCTCTGTTGGAGTAAAGACTTGGTGCGCTAATCCTTCTCCTGCTCAGTAACTTCCCAGGAATTAAATACTGGACTTTGGAACTTCACCTGTCCTTCACATCCCCCAGATGGCTGAAACCCAAGCTCAGGGTAACTTCTCGTCTTTTCTGTCACTGATTTCACCTTTGGAAAAAGGAAACAGTGAGGCTGGTGGCAAACTCAATGGTTTTAGGATCCTCGACATGAATGGTCTTGACTGCCCACACCATGAGGGTCTGATGGATCCAAGGCAGAGGATATCCTCTCATTCTTAAGACAAAGTTAAAGTCCAGGCTGATCTGACACACACTGTGCCAGAACAGGGCAGTACTGCACCGCTGGATCAGACATTAAATTGAATGTCTATATATACTCTCAGCTGGTCATTAGGATCTTTTGGTAAAGAGCAGGGAGGTACTCCTCAGTCTTATATACAATCGAACATGTTGCTCAGGTGCATGAGTAGGCCATTCATTGCTCCAGCCTGCACTGCCATTCAACAAGATCATGGCTGATTGGTTTATGGCCTTAACTCCACATCTACACCTACCCCCAATAACTATGGACAATACTTACCCCTCAACTAATATCACAGAGTCATGGAGTCACACAGCACAGAAACAGACCCTTCAGTCCAACTCATTCATGCTAACCAAGTTTCCCAAACTAAACTAATCCGACCTGCCTACACATGGCCCATATCCTCCAAACCTTTTCTATTCATGTACCTGTCCAAATATCTTTTAAATGTTGTAACTGTACCTGCATCTAACACTTCCTCTGGCACTTCATTCCACACACGAACCACTCTCTGTAAAAAAAAAAAAGTTGCCTCTTGGGCCCTTTTTAAATTTTTCTTCTCTCACCTTAAACCTATGCTCTATAGTTTTGAGGTCTCCTACCCTGGGGAAAAGACCTTTGCCATTCACCTTATCTACGCCTGTTGTGATTCTACAAAGCTCTATAAGGTCACCCCTCAACATCCTACGATCCAGGGTAATAAGTATCAGCCTATCCAGCCTCTCCCTGTAACTCAAATGCTCCAGTCCCAATAATATTCTTGTAAAGCTTTTCTGCACCCTCTCCAATTTCATAATATCCTTCCTATAGCAGGGTGACCAAAACTGTGCACAGTACTCTAAAGGGGGCCTCATCAATGTACCGTACAGCCGCAACATGACATCCCAACTCCTATACTCAGTGGTCTGAACAATGAAGACAACTATGCTAAACGCTTTCTTCACCACTCTGACTACCTGTGATGCAACTTTCAAGGAACTATGTACCTGAACCTCTAGGTCTACCTGTTTGACAACACTCCTCAGGGCCCTACCATTAACTGTGTAAATCCTGCCCTTGTGCATCTTACCAAAATGCAACACCTCACATTTATCTAAATTAAACTCCATCTGCCACTCCTCAGCCCACTGGCCCTACTGATCAAGATCACTTTGTAATCTTAGATAACCCTCTTCACTTGTTATTTTACTTCGTTGTTATACCAACTGTATTGGCATCATTTGCAATCTTACTAACCATGCTTCCTATATTCTCATCCAAATCATTTATATAAATGACAGATTATCTGGTCACTACCACACTGCTAAATGTGACAGCATGTTGTACGCTATTTGGCAGCCATATTCCATGAATTGTGATTGTAAATTGACATGAAAAGTACTTCTGATGAACAGTCATGGACTTAAAACGTTAACTCTGCTTTCTTCCCACAGATACTGCCAGACCTGCCGAGGTTTGCCAGCAATTTCTGCTTTTAAATAGTACTTCACTGGCTATAACTCTGACAACGAACTGCTCTGCTTTATCACATTCCAATGTTAATGTAAACCATGAGTGAAAAAAGGTCATGAAACACAAGTTCTTTCTTTTAATTTTCAGGGCTTAGGGATGAAAATGCTCCATAAAACCAGGTTTTCTAAGATTCATTTGAATGCTACATACAGTATCACACTTTGCTTCCCATAACCTGATTTAGCAAGTTTCAGATAAAAATCAGTGGAGACTTAAAAGTTGGGTGACGTTATTTATTTTCAGTTTCGGGACTGAGACTACTGCCTGATGATAGATGCACATTAATTAAATCAATAACCAAGGCTCACACGTACCAAAAGTACAGTCAGCTGGACAAATCAAGGAGGAGATGACAGGCTGGATCATCAATCTTTCAGTCTCTCCTTAATTTAGTTAAAGGGAGCACATACAGCCCATTCTTACTGCTTAATGACACTTTAAACATTGAGAATTTAATCAGTCCCTAATACTCCTGTCTGACAAAATTTTCCACGCTCAGTTTGAACTGAAAATAGTGACTCATCCTCCCATAAATAAAAACAAAATACTGCAAATGTTGCAAATCTGCAATTAAAAAAATACTGGAGAATCTCAGCAGGTCTGACTGCACCTGTGGGGAGGAAAGACAGATGGACTTGAAATGTTAACTCTGCTTCCTGCTCCTTGGATGTTGCCAGTACTGCCAGTCAACTCATCTTCCCTGCTCTGTTTGTGCCCCTCACTCTCCAGCTCCATATCTTCCCCATCCTTCACACTCTGGCTCTGAATTCCACTTTAATTCCGAGTTATTGGAGGAAAAAGTGGATTGTGGGGGAAGAGTGTAATGTGGAGACTGAGTCTCTCTGACAATGAACTGCTCTGCTTTATCACATTCCAATGTTAATGTAACCCATAGTGTGGAGCTGCAGGAACACAGCAGGCCAGGCAGCATCAGAGGAGCAGAAAAGCTGACGTTTCAGGCCTGTAATTTCCAGGATTATCCCTGCTACCCTTCTTAAACAATGGGACAACACTGGCTATTCTTCAATCCTCTGGGACCTCATCTATGGCCAAAAAGGATACAAAGATGTCTGTCAATGCTCCAGCAATTTATTCTCTTGCCACCCTCAATATTCTGGGATAGATCCCATCAGGACCCAAGGGCTTATCTACCTTAATACTTTTTGAGATGCAGAACACCTCTTCCTTTTTAATACCAATTTGGCTTAGAAATTCAATATTACTTTCCCTGAGATCATCCTCTACCAATTCCCTCTCTTTGGTGAATACCGACACAATGTATTTGTTCAGGACCTCACCTACCATTTCTGGCTCCACACATAGATTCCCTCCTTTGTACTTGTTTGGGCCAACTCTTTACCTAGCTACCCTCTTGCTTTTTATATATCTATAAAAAGTCTTGTAATTGTCCTTAATCCTGTTTGCTAATGACTTTTCATGACCCCTTTTAGTCTTTCTAATTCCTTGTTTAAATTCTGTGCCCAATGCCCCTGCCAAATTAGTTTAAAACCTCTCCAACAGCATGAGCAAAACCTCCCAGCCACAAGGTTGGATGCATTCTGGTTCAGGTGCAATCTGTCCAGTTTGTAGTCCTCCTCTTTAATCTATGACCTAACGCTCTAAATTCCTGCTACAGGACCTCTTTCCTTTTTTACCCATGTCATTGGTACCAACATATATCATGACTGCTGGCTCTTCACCCTACTGTAGTCATTTAGCACTTTTAAACAGAGTCATTAATCCCCAGGCACTTTATAAAGGTGTTACCAAAATGAATTAAATAAGTTATTTGGGCAGCCTGCCAAAAAACTCGATCAAAGCTTTAAGGAGTGTTGGAAATGGGAGAAAGGAGAGATTAAGATATTCGGGAAGGGAATTCCAGAGCTTCCAGTCCATGCAATCACCAATGGTAGGGAGATAAAAATCGCGGTCTCAGAATTCACCTAATTCCAGGAGTGCAGAGATCTTGGATGGTTGTAGGGCTGGAGATGTTTACAGAGATAGGCCAGGACGAGGCCCAGTTAACTTTGAAAATAAGTACAAAAATTTTAAAATGTAAGGGCTGTCATACTGAGAGCTTCTGTAGGTCAGCAAGCAGAGGTGATGGGTAAATGTGATATACTTTGTCTCTGCCAGAGTAATTGGTGTCATGGCCTAGTAAATATTAATGGAATCCACGCTATTCTTGTGTAGTACCCTCTTAAGCACTTGCTTGCTATGATCTGTGGTTTTCTGGGGCTTATTTCAAAGTCCTTTCTTCCCACTAACTCTTGCAAAACTTTGTTTTCAAGGTCAAGTATCTCATTAGAAAGCGGTCAGGTATTTAGTTTTGTTTTGGAAATCCCAGAATCTGCAGCAGCCGCTACAGGAGTGCCTGAGAGGCATGAGTGAAGGTCGAGTAATGAGTAACGAGACAGTCCCCTCTCCACACGGCTGATCAAAAGCTAGAGTGGATACACTGCACAGCACATCCAGGAAAGGAGCACCGAGGGACCCTGAGAAAGTCCTGTTTTCCAAAACAACACGATAAGAAAAAGTATTTGTACACATGATCGGAAAAGACTCCTTCATACTACCAGCTGGGGCCTTCTGTTGTGCTACACATATACTTCAACACCAAATGAAACATCTCCCTCCTCCTCCCCAGATTGTTAGGATTGTAATGCTTCCTGTCAGGTGGCATTGGACATGGGGTGGGGTCATTATTTTTCCACGTGGCCAACCTGTCACTCTCCCGTTCACCCCCACCCACATCACCACTTTATGGGAGGGGGAGCTGGAGTTTTTGGCAACCCTCCTGAAGTTGTCAACTAATGACCAGATGAAGGTTGTCTCTTTCCCTAACCTCAAATCTAGGTGGTTCAGGGACAGATATAGCTTGAACTGTCTGAATCCTCAGGTGGGATGTTCCATGACTGGCCCCCTGACAAGATCAGGTGCCTCCCACCCAAGATCTGGTCACTCCAGCTACACCCTGTCCTCCTGCCCTAAAATGATGACCAACACCTCAACACCCATACTCCTTGTCCCCGCCAACACCCTGAGTTACTGTTCCCTTTGCCACCAAAATTCTTACACCCGAGTATTTACCACTACCCTGCTTTCAGTCTGAGAACTGCAATGTGGTCCCAAAAGTGGCCAAGACCTTTGATGATGCTGCTGGCATGAGCCAGTTTTCTGACAGAGCGAGAAGTGCAAATCTCATCCCAAACCAATAAACACTCCTAGTGTTAAACGACTGCAGGGCAGCTATAACTGGGGGCACCTGTTATGGGAACAATTCCACACCTAGAAAAGGCCGAAGGCCATCCAGTCCCTCGGGCATGTGCAATTTAATTAGATCATGGCTTGTCTGTACCTTCAATCCAGTTTTCTACTTCAGCTCTCCAGCCTCAACAGACTGTGGAAAGGAGAAAATTCCAATTTTCCAGTTTACTTTTTTTGATGAAGTGTTTCCTGCATTAATCCTGAAGAGCATATCTCCAATTTTAAGGTTATAAATCCTTATTCTATACCTAACTACTACAGTAACAGATCTGTCCACTCGAGTACTGTACCCCAGTGTTATATAGTGACAGACATGCCCCCACCAGTATTGTACCCAGTGTTATATAGTGACAGACGTGTCTTCAGCACTGTAGTGCACTGTTAAACAATGATAGACCTAGCCCCACCAGCACGTACTGCAGTGTTATACCATGACAGACTTATCCACACCAGCACTGTACCCGTCTTATATAGTGACAGATGTATCCCCACTAGTACTGTACTTGCGTTATACAGTGGCAAGCCTGTCTCCACCATTGTACCCGACTACTATACAGTGACAGACCTGTCTCCACCAGTACTGTACCCCAGTGTTATACAGCGAAAGACCCGTCCCCACCAGTACTGTACCCTGGTGTTATATAGCGACAGATCCGTCCCCACCAGCCCTGTACCCCGGTGTTATACAGTGACAAACCCATCCCCACCAGTACTGTACCCCGGGGTTATACAGTGACTGACCTGTCCCCACCAGTACTGTACCCCAGTGTTATATGGTGACAGACCTGTCTCCACCAGTACCTGTACCCCAGTGTTATACAGTGACAGACTTGTCCTTACCATTGTACCCCAGTGTTGTACAGGGATAGACCTGCCCGACCAGTACTGTACCACAGTGTTATACAAGATAGACCTATCCGGACCAGTATTGTTCACCAGTGTTATGCAGAGGCAAAACTGTCTCAAACAGTACTGGACCCCCGTGTTATACAGCGACAGACCCGTCCCCAACAGTACTGGACCCCCGTGTTATACAGCGACAGACCCGTCCCCACCAGTACTGTACCCTGGTGTTATACAGCGACAGACCTGTCCCCACCAGTACTGTACCCTGGTGTTATACAGCGACAGACCCGTCCCCACCAGTACTGTACCCCGGTGTTGTACAGTGACAAATCTGCCCCCACCAGTACTGTACTCTTCTGAACGGTAACAGACGTGTCCCCACAAGGACTGTACTCATGTTATACAGTGACAGACTTGTCCCCATCAGCACAGTTCACCAGTGTTATACAGTGGGAAACCTGTCTCCAAAAGTACTGTACCCCAGTGTTATTTAGTGACAAGCTTGTCCCCTCACCCAGTACAGGACCCCAATGTTATACAGTAAGATACCAGTCCCCACCATCACTGTACCTCAGTGTTATACAATAAGGACCTATTCTCACCAGTGCTGTCCTTGTGTTATACAGTGACTGACTTATCTTCACCAGTACTGTACCCCAGTGTTATACAGTGACAGACCTGTCCCCATCAGTACTGTACCCCAGTATTATACAGTGATAGACCGGACCCCACCAGTACTGTACCCGTGTCATATCGTGACAGGCCTGTCTCCACCAGCACTGTACCAGTGTTATACAGTGACAGATATATATTACCAGTATTGTATTCCAGTGTTATACAATGACAGACCTATCCCCACCAGTACCCCACCCTTCTCATACAGTAACAGGCTTGTCCCCACCAGCACTGTACTCATGTTATACAGTGACAGACCTATCTCTACAAGTACCCCAGTGTTAGAAAGTGACAGACCTGTCCCCACCAGTACTATACCCAACAGTTGAACATGTCTCCAAATTTGCTCTCTCCATATACAACCTGACATTAGAAGGACAGAACCTGTATTGCTGGCCATTTCTCACAGTTCAAGAGTAAGCAATATGAATGTTGTACAGAACCACATGAACACCAAGCAACTGTGCACAACCAAGTGAAAAGGAAGCA